AGCATAGTCTTGAAATCCCTTGATGATAAAATTGAATCTTCTAACGTGGCTACATTCTTGTGATATGAGCGATGAAAGAATCCATTTCCAAAGAAGAAACTCTTTCCTCCAGTTGACTACTGGATAATTTTTTTTAGGTTCATTGCCTTCTTTCTCATCTCACCACCTTCACTTGTCGCCATCAATCCACTCACAGCATTCTTAACAGCTGATGCTGTCACCAACTCATCTTTGCGAGTCCTATCCTTCACCATTAAACCAACTTGAATCACTTAATGTTATCCAAACTGCGTTCCTTAGCTGGTCTGAGTGCAAAGGCCATGCTACAATTGGCACCCATACACTAATGCTCTCCATCCACGAGTTCCATCCACAGTGACTCATAAACCCACCTGTTGAAGGGTGGTTCAGAATCTCCAATTGGGGCGCCCAGTCTCTTACAATTAAGCCAATGCCTTTTACTCATTCTTCAGACCCCTGTGGAAGTTCAGCTCTGCTAACTTCTCCATCAGTAACGTTCCCCTTGTCAGCATCTCTCGACACCCAAATGAACTTCTGCTTGCTTGCTTCCAATCCAATTGCAAGCTATTTGATTTGTTGCTTGGCAAATGTGGTTGCTGTTCCGAAAGACACATATAAAATTGACCTTTGCTCTTGTTTATCAAGCCACTCCAAGTTAATATGCATGTCTTGAGAGCTCTTCTTCTCAATTGCCTGTGGTTTGAAGGGTCCCAAAGCCCAGTGCTTCTTGCGGTAGTCAATGCGTTCTATCAACTCAATGTAAGGACTTTCAATTGCTCTGGTTGTGTTGTAGGGCTTTCCATTTCTGAATTTATGGAATTCATGTTGTGCAGAAATGAAATCTAGGAATTGGGTTGTGAAGCATCATTCTAGAGGAGAAACTTCGGGGATGTGAATGCCATCCAGTTCCACGAAGGTTTTTCCCATTACCTACCAAAAGAACAAGAACATGATAAAGGCAGAGACACTGTGGAAAGTGTAGGTCTCAGAATTTGTTATATCAGCAGCATCTTATACCACTGATGCCATGAGGGAGTCATGCATCACTGGGACCCATCGAGCCACAGATGAAAGGGACTGTAAAACTGTAGCTATAGGCTGGCCAATATGCATGGAGGCATCAAAAGCGGGCAAGAGATGGGATGGGAATTTGGTTTCTACGTTGGTGTTGGGCAAAGGAGGAATTTTGAAGTCATGGAAGTGGAAGTTTGATGAGATAGAATTAGGGTCCCAACCTTGTATAAGAACTATGGCCTGGCGGTTGTGAATGGGTGTGCTAACATAATGAACTGGTATATTATATCCCAAGATTAGGCGGGAAAGGTGGAGAAGCGGGTTTAAATGGCCTTGTGCGGGGAAAGGTGCTACAACCACCGCGACTTGGGTTTGACGAAAGTCATCTGTGCTATGTTTTTTATGGCTTTGGTTGCTGGAAGCAATTGGTGATCTCTGGAGGCTAGAGGCTATGGACGTTGGCCACAGTGCCGTTAAGTGAATGAAGAGTGTTTGATAATGCTGAGATATGCGGTGCAATATCCTATTTATAGAACCGGAGTTGTGAAATTCTTATCAGATACTAAAAGGTATTCGTATCTGATCCAAGATGAATGCCACTCAAAATGAAAGCAATAGGAGATGTGCCCGCCTGAGTAGCCAGAACAGATTTGTTTCAGGACCCCTCGGACTAATTAGTAGTGCCAGGAACACATTAAAGTGAACATGATAGTGTGGATTGTACCACTCCAATTTTTTTTTTCTGATAATTTTTTTTAGTTTGTTTTACTTGATATATTATATGTTATTAAAGTTTCTCTGACCACGAAACTAAGATTCTTTCATTGCTATTAACTCCAAGAAAATAAGGCCCACGTAGATGCAAGTTGCAAAAGTATACGCAACCTCAGCTATCAGTGCATGCAACCTCAGCTATCATCAGAAATTCTGAATGGGGGTCCTACGGCTCAAATTATTTGTTGAGTGGTAGCTGTCGCTCTCATGAACCCCACCTTTCACGCGGCAACGATTTAAAGACATATAAAAGAACCCTTTTTTTATCTATTTTTGGAATGATTTTAGAACTTCCAGATTTACTTTATCTGGTAAATGCATGTTATGTTAAATCCGAATGCAAAACTGCCTTAACACATCCTTGTGATCGCTCCTTTTTTTTGTTTTTCAAGTTTCTGTAAAAGAAAGTTGCTTTGATATTGGGTTACTTCCTACCTCCCACCGATCTTATCTTTCTAAGCTGTAAAATATGGTTGTTATAATCTCTTTTGCGCCTTCTGCTTCTTTCCTCCTCCTAATTTTCATTACAGAATTGAAATCAATCAATCAAATTAGCAGTTTATTTGAGGATATGCCTTCCGTTAATCTAGCAAAGAGAAGAATCTCCTTTTTTGTTTAATTGAAGATCTTGAGATAAAGAGACATGATAATTTGTGATCCAAGTCTTCCACCCACAACAGACTAATCTTCGAAGTTATCAAATACATAAATACTCTATCAGGCAGAGGAGGAACGTATAAATATTTGATAGCCACATGGATTTTTTTTATCTGATTTGACTCCTGAGCTGCCTTAACATGTTGACATATCAACTGAGCTTGCATCGGTAAAGGAGAGGCTTCTATTGATTCGTTCATTTGCTTATTAGTTTGTGGCTATATTTTTAGTTCAAATCCTTCTATGCAGAGTCCAGACACTGCTATAGTAATCAGAGTTGGCAGAAAAGACAATTGAAAGGAGGAGCACTCTGTTTCAGTGCAACTTGTTGATCTGCTGCAGACATTCCCGTGGGATTCGTTCATTTAATTTGCTCATCAGTTTGTGGTTGTTTCCCACGTCGACATGCCTCCATTCATGCAGTTGGCCGTACTGTTATGAGCTTGACAAGTTCCTAATAGCAGTAAAGTTTTGTTCGAATTTTGATTCTATCATTGTAGATTGCTCACACATTTCATTTCACGTGTTATTTTCTTTCGGCCAAAACAGCACTATTGTTGTCTTTCTTTCTTGCTAATTAAGGAAGATATGCCCAAAAAAATTGGGTTCCATGGAGAATTAGTGCAGTCATTACTCACATGTAATTGATGAATACAAGTCTCTCCGCTGTGAATCACAGGTCCGAAGAAGAAAACGTTATCTCTTGAAGGATACAATACGTAAGGTACGGCAAAAGACAAATCTACTTCCCTCCCACAAGTTGGCGATGATTATATTCCGAGAAGACTGCAACTCGATAGGGTTCAAGTGTCAAGATGACCAAGAACGACGAACGTCGTTCGGTGTTTTTCCCCCCTTCTTTCTCTTGAACAAGAGGTTATTATCTCTTGGATAAATGTCACCCAATTCAGACCAGCAAGGAATAGTTTTGTTATATATGTTCCATCTTCGATGTATATCATATTTATATGTAAAGTAGAATTGTATCCGTGTGCAATTGGGAATATTTGTATGCAAAGCCAAATAGTCGATAGAGCAATAGAATTCAGTGACAACCAGTCCTTCACGATACATATCCAAAACCGAAGCTAGATATTGAAGCTAACGACAGAGGCAGCAAATATTGATGTAGACATACATGTGCTACACCGTCACCGTTTGGATAATATTTGATCATGAAATTAAAAGTGACATTTTGTTGTTGTTGTTGTTGTTTTTCTTTCTTGTTTCCTATATTTATAACCGCAAAGAAGCACCTCTGGATTAAAGGAGTTATAATTTCCTCCAATTTCATTCAATCACTTCCCATGTTTTGGCTTCCACGAAAGGACTATCATCACCTTTTCTCCGCTGGTTAAGATTCTGGCCAAGCATGTCAAGGAAAGAGAGAACAGCTATAATAACAAAATCTGAGGTAGTAATAGCTTTCAGATATTCCTTCTTTTAAAAATAGTTAGAACAGACCTTTGTGTACATAATTTAATTGGGTCGTATTATTCATAGCTTGAGGTCGAAGAGCATGACTTCTCGTAACTTTTATAGATATGTTGATGTTAGTTTCATCCATTTCATCATGATGTGCCAAGATTACGTAGAGTTGATTTACAGAACAGTTTGAATGTGCAATAAAGATAGACAAAGTTTGGAAAGAATTGAAAATAACAGTTACAACGTGGAATGTAATTGAGGCAGTCTAGGGTTAGAAAGCGTTGTTATGGGAAGCTCGAACTCAATCAATAATCATAAGCAGTACGGAACTATAGTTGCAGGTCCATGGAATCCTCTCATCGTGGAAGTTAAAACAATTACTCGATCTGTCCAAAATATGAGTGTTGACGACTAACACTGTATCCCAACATGAAATTTTATGATCTTCATCATCCAATTTCTTGACTCCCAACAAGTGAAAAAACAAAGAAACAAATAAAGGACTAATTTCACGCATTTTGACAAATGATTAAAAAAATATTAGATATTGAGAAAATGGTGACAAGTTTCATTAACGTATCCTTGTAGGGTCGCCAAAGTAAAAATGGCCACCAAAGTAAGGGAGAAAATAGTTTTACTTTACTTACATGTACCCTCTGCGTTTAAAATTATAAAATATCTTTTGAGAGATATTATATTTAAAAATATGAGACATTTTGATTTTGTTAGGAATAATTAAGTTTTTTTAACAAAAATGCTCTTAATAAATGCCTGAAATAGATGGAATTTTTACAATAATTTGTGATTAAGTTATCCTATTAATTAATAAGAGTAGATATAAGAAGTGTAAATATTTTTCAATGATTTTAATTTTTTTGGATAATAAAAAGTAATTAAAAAATCTTATAATTTTAACCAGAGGAGGTGGTGTGTGTGTGTGTGTGTGTGTGTGTCTGTGTGTGTGTGTGTGTGTGTGTGTGTGTGTGTGTGTGTGAAAAGGTAGGAAGAGTAAAGAACTAGAGATGATGATAATATAGGTGTACTTTTATAACTTGTGTTGATCAATGTGGCTACGATTCTTGTATGTTCCTCCAGTATATTGATAACGAAGCAGAAGCAGTATCATCTCATAGTCTAAGTAGAAAAACAACACACACACACGAGTTTGTACTGAAAAAAGATTATAGGACTGGGATAGAAATTTGTAATATCTGCTATCATCACTATACAGAGATCTAGAATTAATTTTATTGCTGTCCAGTAGTAATGAATAATTTATTAGCGAGGTGCATATGTGGCTAGACTCTTGTGATATGAGCAATGAAAGCCTCCATTTCCAAGCGAGAAACTCCTCCTTCATCGCATGACTGCAAGACGATATTCTTTAGGTTCATTGCCTTCTTTCTCATCTCATCTCCCTCCCTCGTTGCCATCAATCTTCTCACAGCATTCTTAACAACTGATGCTGTCACCAGCTCATCTCTGTGAGCCCAGTCCCTCACCGTTAAACCAATCTGAAGCACTTCTGTGATCAAAACTCTGTTCCTTGGCTGGTCCGAGTGCACAGGCCAAGCTGCGATTGGCACTCCCATTGTGATGCTCTCCAGGCACGAATTCCACCCACAGTGACTCATAAACCCACCTGTTGAAGGATGACTCAGAATCTCCAATTGGGGTGCCCAGTCTCGCACAATCAAACCAATCCCTTTCACTCTCTCTTCAAAGCCTTTCAAATATTGTTCATCTCTCGTAACTTGTGCATCAAAGTCGTCTCCTTTGTCAGCATTCCTCAGCACCAAAATGAATCTCACCTCGCTTTCTTCCAACCCAATTGCAAGCTGTTTGATTTGTTCTTCCGTGAGGGTAGTCGTTGTTCCGAAGGACACGTAGATGACTGAGTTCTGGTCCTGTTTGTCTAGCCAGTTCAAGCTAAAGTGCCTGTCTTGTGAGCTCTTTCTCTGAATCACCAGAGGGTTGAAGGGACCGAGAGCCCAGTGCTTCTTGCTACTGTTGATACGTTCTATTAACTTCACGTAAGGACCTTCAATGACCCTGGTTGTGTTGTAGATATTCCCGTTACTGAATCTATGGAACTTGTGTTGCGCACAAATGAAATCCATGAAGTGGGTTGCGAAGCAGCCTTCTAGAGAAGGAACTTCTGGTATAAAAATGTTTTCCACGGAAGGTTTTCCCTTTCCCTCCCAGAAAAACAAGGACATGGTAAATGCAGACACACTGTGGAAAGTGTAAGTCTCGGCATTGGCTAGACCAGCAGCATCTTGTACCACAGACGCCATCAGAGAATCATAGATGACAACTAATCTTCTAGCTACAGACGAAAGGGACAGTAAAAGTGTGCCTACAGGCTCACGGAGATGGTGAGAATTGAAGGCCTCGAAAGAGGGGTTGAAGTGAGATGGGAATGTGGTTCGAGGACGCAGAGAATCAGAATCAGCAGAAGAAGAAAGATGAAAGTAATGAAGGTGGAAGTTTGGAGAAGAGAAAGGGTCCCAAAAAGCTTGAAGACGAAGCAAGGCTTGGCGGGTTTGGATGGGAGTGGCAACACAGTGAACAGGAATGTTACAAGCCAAGATTTGGCGGGAAAGATGCAGAAGCTGGTTTACATGGCCATGTGCTGGGAAAGGCACCACCACCACCACCACCTGGCTTTGTTCATTGGGCATGGACGCCATTGGTGAATATAACTTTGAAGCCTAAAAATATCTAATTAGATAAGAGATTTGAGTAATGCGTGATTTATTGTGTGTTGTATATGTGCACTGGTTTTTATAGAACCTCGGTTTGGAGAACTGGTCAGTGGTTAGTGTAACTAAACGACGTATTACTTATTTTTAGTTAGTGGTACAGCTAGTAATTTAAGTTGTAAAATTGGGAGGTTTCAGGATCATTTATAAGATAATCTTGTTGAATTTCATGCGCAGAATCAGATCCCTGATAGAGCGAAGAGTAAAATTGTAGTTTTGATTCGTGATTTCATGACTTCAGTGAGCCGTTCATATATTTTTGTGGGTCGAGAGAAATTGGTAAATTAAAGTTTTGGGTTTTATTTTTTTTAAAAAAAAAAAAACTCTATTCCAATGACGGCTAGATCGATCTCTCTTGATTTTACTAATATTTGGGTCTTGCTTGGCGTCCTCCTTATTTATACATGCAAAATCATATATTATTTTGAAGTTGATCTTGATGGTGACGTTATGTGACCAGCTCCATTGAAATTACAGGGAAAAGCAAATTCTTTGGGGACAAACTAAAGTAATATAGGGGAAAAAATAATATAGGAAAAAGAAAAGCACCAAACTCCATATTGAGCACGGTGTTGCTAACATGTTAGTGACCAGCAAAGACCAAATCTAAAATTACACAAAATTGCGAGCAATTTTAGCTAATTATATAACCCATTAAATGTCTTATTTTATCTTCTATGTTGTATTTTGTAGGTTATATTTAAAGACAATGCAAAGTAAGAATCTCATCAAAAAATAATATTAAATCAAGATCCCATCATAACTCAAATTTTCAAAGTAAGCACTCATTTTTCTATGTTTAGAACTAATTTTGCTCTTTTTAAAAAAAAATTCCCATTTAGTATTAATCTTTTTGTTTCAAAAGAAAATTTTTACCCCTAACTAAGACACACGCGCACCCACTAATCATATTAACGTTATGTTCGAATTAATCATATTAACGTTATGTTCGAATTCAAGACCTTTAACAAGAGAAGAACTGAAAGTAGCATTGCGGCTAGTATTAACCTTTTTAAAATGTCATTAGTTTGTCATTTTTTTCCTTGTACTATTTATGGTAAGAAGCATTTTTTTTTTATGTACGTAACTTCCACAAATTTACATCACTAACTGGTTTGTTTGTTTAATTAACAGCTGAATTTAACAAATAACTCTATTTATTTCTACAGAAAATTAACTTATAAGTCCTTATAGTTTCTTTCAATTTTGAATTAGGTCTTTATAATTTAGCTTACCTCAATTAAACTCTTATAATTTGATCCGTTTGATTTATCAAATCCTTAAGGGTTAAAATCCTTGAATTTTTTAAAATGAAATTAAAAACTTTTATATTTTTTATTAAATGATTATGTAGCTTTAAAATCAATTACATGATTTTTCTAACTCAAAGTTTATATAATTAGATTATGCCTTTTAAATATTCCCTCCATTTAAAAATATAAGGTATTTTTAATCGAATTTCACCTAATTATCTATTTTCAAACTAACATTATCTTTTCATATTTACTCCTATTAAACACCCTATAATAAATATAAAGTCACTATCAATAGTAATACTTTTTAAAAAAAGGTAATGATTATACCTCAAAAGATTAAAAATGCCTTACATTTTTTAACATGCAACTCTTCAAAAAATGTCTTATATTTTTTAACGGGGGTAGTAGTTTTTATGCATATAGATTTTTTATAAAAATTAATAAAAATATAAACATGGTATGAAATCAATTTTTTTAGTCAAAAGGATTGAATTAAATTTTCTATAAACTTCAAAAATATTTTTATTTATTTTGGATAAAGTTAATCATTCAGTAATGATTTTAATAATATATCAATGATTAAAACAAAATAGGCTACAGGGACTTATTTTGAAATTGAGAAAAATAATAAGAACTAAAAGATAATTTTTTTTCCTTTTTTTTTAAATTTATCTAAGAGGATCAATGATTGATAGGCCGCAAATTATGGACCCTTTATTAGCAAGAGCCAGGGTTAGTGGGCGAGTCGATTATTGAACGTAAGGAAATGGGTAAGAGAGAAAAATCCAATTTCTAAAGAAGAATGATTTGAGTTGGATAGTCATTGACATGAAATTCGGGCGTGAATTGAAGCAATGAGGAGATGACGTGAGCTTCTTGCCAATTATTTAGGGATTGGATTTGATGACATGGCTCGCCGAATTTGTAGGGTTCGCCGACTATTCACTCCCATCTTTATCAATTAAATTAACCACGTTGCCACCTTTTTTAGGGTTTGCCGACTCATCATGTTGTAAGGATCAGCGATCTCGACATTAATGATTTCGTGCACAAACAAGTATGTAGTTCAGTTTAATTTAACATTGCAGATTTTGGATTCTACCACAAGATTTAAAAATTGAACCAATCTTGCGAAGCTCCAAATTAATTTTTCCTGGCATTATTGATTGCTTTTCTTTGCGTTTCCCCTTTTTTCCTGCTTTAATTTCATGTCAGATTTTTCCGACAAAGATATGCTCCTGTCACTTACTTATTAATTTGACATACAATCCATCGTGAATACAAACAGGCACTGCACTAACGTGTTTGTTCACAAAATTTATTGTTAAATACTCCTCTCCGTATAGAATTGCGTTAACTCATTAGATCAAAATCCATTCATATGCCCCTTTACCATTAGGTTCCTTTTGCATGTGGCGTTTCAAAAATAAAAAATGATCCAAATTATAAGGTGTCTCATCAAAATAACAAATGATATTCTATTTTTAATTATATTATTTTAATAGCTTTCTTGTAATTTGGAAGTCCAAAAGCTCTATCTCTTTAATTAATAAGAAAAATATAAATGAAATATTATGATTTTTTTTTCACAAGCAAAGCACTCTGACAGCTTATATTGTTCTGGATGAAAAATGTCTGAAACACAGTATTGTGGAAGAGAATGAATGGAGCACACAACTTCATAACTAATCAAATAGGACTTCCCGTTAGAAGACCCAGAAGCTTCGGATTTCAAGACGTCAGAAACGATATGCAAGGTTGTAGTTTACACGCAAAACACACACACACGCACTCAAAAGTAAGGAAAAAGAAAATCTGATGTGAATTGCGTAACCAATCAAACCAGTCACCAAAACGACATTTGCTAGCTTAAGTGACTATTTTTTTTAACCATAGAGAGTAAGATTAAGAATTTATCCGCACATAATATTTTATTGGTTTCTTCTGAGCACGAACGTGTACGCTGGAGAGCCGGGCCACATATTCATCTTAACCCATGCTAAATACATAAAAGAGAATTATCAAAACATAAGCATAGAAAGCAAAATTCTTAAAATATGGTACTCTCAAGGGTAAATGATATAACTGTCAACATTGCAAAAGAATCAACTTAAATCAAAGACTAAGGTCTCATGTAGAGAGAAATGAAATGGCATGAATTAAAAAAATAAAGATACAAATAAAATAATGATAAAAAATGTGAACGCATTCTTCAGAGAGAGAGATAATTTAATCAATAAAATTAAGAATCATAATTCATGAAAATTTTTAAATAAATGATTCCCACATATGTAATATATATTAATAAGTTTTATCATGCTCATCAGATAGGGAAGGGTGATTTAATTAATTTTTATTTTGATTTTTTCAATCAATTCTAGTTTATTCTAATAATCAAATGGAACCTAAAAATATAGCTTTTAACTAAGTATTGAATTGATATTGATGCCAATGTGATCACTGTTCACCATTTGCACATCAACGACCCTTCGAAATTGCACGAGGGTCATGCAAATTTATACATGGATAGCACGAGGCCTCGCAGAAAGCTCAAGTTAGGACCACAAAAAATTGGGCAATGTAGCTTACAGCAGAGGGGCAAATTACAATGATAATGGCACTTTCATCCCATGAAAGGAAGTTAAAGGGCTAAAGCACATCACCAAATCCTCCATTGGCATCCTCAACCCAGGTTGTTAAATATGGCCACTCAAGGGCCGCAAAGATTCTTAAGGTCCTCCTCCTTAGCATACCAACTTGGTATGATTTTGGAAACATGAGGATAAAGATCCTTGTAGGAGTTCCTGATGGTTCCTTCTGCCACTCCCGTGGCCACTGATATATCTGCACCAACATCGCAAGTCATTTATTTATACATGTATGCATATGATGAGAGAATGCCCTCTTAAAGATGGATGCCAGTGGAGATTTATTCTAGAGACAATTTTTACTCTAGTCTTCCACTTTTTCACTGATGTAGTGTATTTGTACTTCATGTTTTCAAAGCTAAAGAGATCTTGCAAACCTTTGAGAGGTTTTTTATCATCTGAGAGCTGAGTTATAATGTATATCACAGCCGCAGCAATTGATATGGGGCTCCTCCTGCCAGAGATTAGATGCTTTTATCAGTATTGATCATCAACGTATAGTGATATCCACCTAAAAATAGACCAACACTAATGCCTTCATAGAACAGCTACAGGTAACTGATCATAGGCTGCGATTAAAGTTACCGTAAAAGACAGAAAGAAGTGAGTGCCCAAATACAATTGTAACTTCAAGGTGGGCACACACATCCACAGGAAGTTTCTTAAGCCAAAATCTCACACTTTGTTACTCAAAGGAAACTGTTCGAGTCTAAATCAAATGCACAGTCAACATGACATGACCAACAGAACCATAATCTTGAGCCAATATCTGCATTTCACTTTAGAGTTTACAGGTTTGAAGCACATGGCACATAGTATAAGTTACAATTAAGATTTTAAACCTTAACCTCCACACAGTTCTCAGAAGTAACAGTCAAATCTGCTGCTAATAGCTACAATCAAGATAATTATAAAACCCTCATCTCAAGCTTATATCTTCATTTTATTTTATAAAAAAAAAAATTCCAGAGTTTTTACTTCAGCCACCTATTTGATTATAGTAAGCAATCAGTGAGTGTATGCGTTCGCACAAATCAATACCAAGTCACAATATGATAGGCTAACCGTAAGTTCCAAAATTTTCAGTACAAGGAAACACAGAAATCAAAATTTACCTTATATCAAATTCTTCAGATTTCTGAACAGATTCCTGAGCAGCTTTAACCGCTTGATTATTCATGCCAAGATTAGAACAAAATCGCCTCTAAAGATCAGCACACAGACACAAGTAATGTTAGTAACACCATTTGGAATCTATCAGCAACTAAGATGAGTAAGTTTACCAACACAGTTTCCAAGAAAGCAATACTTCATTTCAATACAAATCACTCACCATAAAGTCCCCGGCATGTATTGTTCCCATCTCCACTGACTGACCCTTCTCCAAACCCAGTTGTTTTACTATATATTCTTTTGCTCGGCCAATTTCCTTCTTGGTAGCTCCATTGGCAACAGAGCAAATTTCTAGTTGAAATCCATAGGTAGTCTTTCAGGGAAGCTCATTTATATAGGGAAAGATAAATGGGAAGCATCCAGATGTTAAAAGAATCACAGCGTGTACCCTTTACAGTACGTGGTTTGTCTTCCGTCGACAAGCTATGTAAAGGCAAGCAGCCAACAAAGCATCCTGGTTTCTTCCCCTACTGGACTTCTGATCTTCAACCCTCTTGTATACTTCATTAGCCCGATCCTTTAAATCAAGAGCAAAAGGAATACAATGTGGCTAAAACACTCTAAAGAAAAATTGAAGATGAACACAGGAGAGCAGAATTAAGACAAAAGTTTCAAGGTGCAATTGACATGATTTAAGGTACAAAAACATCGTCGTAGAATGCTCAAAGTCAATGAAAATAATCACATGCAGCGCAAAGGGACGCAGATTCATGAAACTTTGCCCGCAACATACTGTCTGAGATGAGAGTATGGCATACCTTAATGGTCGCAACAAGTCCCAACCTGAAAATTTATAACCAATCAGCTAATTTCGCAATTGAAAAATTCAAGTAACAGATGACAAAAAATCCCACTCTTTTCCAGCATGAATATGAAAATATAAAATAATAAGAGTATTTTAATTATGAGCTCTATACTCTCATAGAGCTTTCAAAGTATAAACAATAGATCAAGAGGGGAAAAAAAAATCCTAGATGAAGTTTACCATAGTTACCGTTATAAAAATTCATCCCAACAAAAGGAATGGTAAGCAAAGCATGTTTAAAAATGCGTAGATATCATGCCGCACACATTATGATGGTTGCCAAAAAATAATAATCCTGGCAGAATCAGGGTTCAGGTTACCCATTCTTAGGGATGGACCCAGGTACAGTATCTCAGGGTTAGCTCCTGCCTACCTAAAAAATGACCAAAGATGCTATTATTAGAGTCTTGATTATGCTTGTGAATCAGATCATTCAGATTCCCGCTTACATGCTGAGGAACATCTAGAGATGCTTTACTACACAAATGAAGACCACCTGGATGATGCAACATTGGGTGCAATGCGTAAGGTGCTCTATAAAGAACTCGCTCCACCCCCATTTGAGCACACTCCTACAGATCATTAAGCTCTCCATTTACCCCAGTTATGTAGATGGTACGACAATTTCAGACCCAAAATTATGGTGCAGCATAATTTGCTCCCCACGCTACTTTGTCCGGTTCCGTCCCTGGCCTGAGTTATTCGCCTATTACTATCTCGGGAGAGAATTATAAGAACTCACTAATCTGTCACAGAAAGGATCATATGGGAATTTATCAATTCCTCTGTTACTACCATGATATAACAGAAAAAGCTTCTCGTTGAGAATTTTAATCAAACGATGTCCAATCAAGAATGGTTCAAGATAAAAATTCAACACTATCTTCATTTAAATTTAACTTAAACAACTACTTTTATCTAGTCTAAAAGTCCCAGATAGATACAGGTTTAACTGTCTCGCCCCTTCTGGCTTCGGTGTTCGTAAGGCAATACCGAAATACAATTGAACAAATTCTAGCAATTGTAATTCGAGATTTCCAAGAAAGTCTCATCCTTCATATCAAGTTTCTCAAATTAAAATTTTCTGCCCAGCGAAGCAACGCCTCCATTGATCAATACTAAAACGTCAGTTAAAACTAGCTCACCTATCTGACATAGTAGCAATTGTCTTGAAAGCCAGAATCAGCCCTCGATCAGGGTTCGACCCGCGATTCTGCCACCGACCCAATGACGACGATAGAAATTCGCCGGAGGTGCCATTGGGCTTTGCTATGACGGTGGCCAAGCCGCCGTCAGTCAAGAGCGGGTTAGTGGGTCCACCGACACGAACCGGGTCGTTGTCCGCAGACTCGTTCGCGAATATACGCCACTCGGAAGTTTCATCAATGGAATGGGACTCAAGCACGAGCCCGCACTCAGAACACACAGTGTCACCAGTCGAGTGATCGAAGACCACCTCTGTTTGACGCTTACAGTCGGTGCAGAACGCATCAGACATGTTTCCTTGAATCAACAAGAAGGTGAAGGAGATCGATTCAGGTTCCAATTAAGTATTCAACCTTTTTTTGTGCAAAAAAAAAAAAAAAACACATACACACCCCCCTCCCTTTTAGCTAGAGTAACAGGTGACGGGGATTTATAAGGTGGGCGGAAATTTCTTGCAGTTTTTAGGATCCTTTCTTGTCTACAAAGTACATAACGCATAAAAGCCACAAGCAACAAATGAGGGATAAGAGAGGGGCATAGAGGAAAGTGAGAAGAGAATAGAATACCTGGACCTGTTTGGGAGATCGAGTGGGCTTCGTTTAATCTGCGCCTTGGTTGCTGAGTTAGATGAATTGGACCCTTCGATTGGCCATGGATTTTTCTTTGATAAAAAATCAATATATACTTTTAGTCATACGCCCAACTGTAGGAGGTAGAATAAGACTCTGACCTCCCCCATTTCATCTTTACTTTTTCATCTCAACTATTAAATTTATTTTTAAATAATTAAGATTTAATATTTCATTGTCTGAAATTCAACATCATATTCGTCTTCATATTTAGACGTCATTGCAGCTAATGAAAAACAAACAAGACTATACTCCATTTTTTTTTTAAGTTAAAAAGAAGCAATAGTCCGTTTCTTTTTTTTAAAGAATTTTCATCTTTAGATGAGGGTCAATAATTTCAAGCATCACTTATACAATTTACTTTTTCGAGCATTTCTTAAACCTTTTCTTAATACTTTAAAAAGAGAGTTAAAATAAAGTTAATAGTCGCCCTCTGAGGTGAGGGTATTAAAGCAATAAGGGGGTTGAGCATCTATTAAACCTCTTCTTAATGCTTCTAAAGAAGAGTTAAGATGAAAGGCATGGATGAAACTCCAATATCAAAATCTTTATGGATCTTGAGTAGAGGGGTTTTTGCTTTCTCATAATAGGATGCTAACCAAAGCCCTTAGTACCTCAATATCCTTCATTCAGCTTCCATCGTTTCTATTTATTTAGTAGTCAAAGCCTTACTCCATTCCTTTCTAAAGGAAGGAATGAGAAAGTGGACAGCTCGGGATGTATAGTGGATGGAGGATGGGGAGTGGTGAATCTGACGCAAACAAGGCCTTAGCATGCCCTCCATTAGGATATGGAAATTTTTATCACACCTCACTTTTTACTTCCATTAGATTCCTGCAAGAGAAACATATTCTTAAAGAATATATATTTAATAAAAATAAAATAAAAACTTATTAAATCAATATATTTTTTATCTTTATTGTACGATACTTTCAATCATTTTATATATTTTAAAAAAATTATATTTTTTAATATCATAAAAAAATTAAATGTGCTTTTATTTTCACTCTTAATTTTAAATAATAATACAACTATAATAAATACTTTCACACTAATAAGAAATGATAAAATTAAAAAAGGTGATTTAATTATTATAAAATGTCTTACATTTTAAACTAAAAATTATTTTTAAAAGATATCTTATAAATAGAATTGAAAAGAGTACATTTTTTATATAAAAAGTCAAATATATTTAATAAAAATGGAATTAAAAACTTATTAGCACGAAATGAAATTAAAAACTTATTAAATTTATAAATAAAGTTAATATGTTTTAAAAAAATTTCATTTTTTGGCAAAATATGTTTAAAGCAAACCCCCCCCCCCGGGCCCAAAAAAAAAAAAAAAACACAAAAAGCTGTTTGATGAAAAAGCTTCCAGTCCTCCAGCTCGTGGAAGGAAGCCTTCCACTATCCACTGGACTTGAGAAGTACTTGCCTGGGGTGAGCAAGACAGGAAATTTGAGGGCGCATTTCGTTGTCTGATAGATGTAATAACATCATGTAAATTAATCTATTCAATATAATATGTTTAGTTGTTGGTAAAAAAAAAAAGGATAATATGATTAGTTATTGTGTGAAATAAATTATAAGTTGCACATGATTGAATATTCACGTGCTTATTGATTTTTTATGGGTTAAATCGTTTACTTCACTGTATTTATATAAATCATTGGTGATTTATCCAATGATATTATGCTCTCTTCCAATGTTCTGTTTAAATAAAATGCTAATCATTTTTAATGTAGGTTTTATATAATACATAACTATGCATGACAAATTTTAGAATGATTTATGTAATATTTAGTAATTAGGAAAGGAATATGTATTTTTAAATAAGCTTTAGAGAGCGTCTTACGTTAAGAATGCACGAAATATCATTAAATGAAGTTGTCCTTTGGAATTAAGTACTACTCCACAAACATGCGGGAGCCACTTGGTGATAAAAATGAGCAAATATACCTCCTCGCTTTTAGAAAAATTATAAATAAAGTGTGTAAAATTTGCAACTTTACATCACTTATTTTTAATATTTTGCACCTTTAAACTAAATAAAAAATATTTATGATCAAAGCTTATTGTATAATATTTTAGATTAAAGTTAAATATGAGGAAGATATATTTATATAAGAGAACATGTTAACTTGTTCAATATAACTTTTTTAAAAAAATAATAATTAATCTACTTATATTATTACAATTTCAGTCTTAAGGTAATTATTATTTTTTAAAAAATTATTAATTTTTAAATTAAATTATCTCACACCTCTAACTATGGGTCTTGACCGTGCCATTGCAAATGATAAAGTATAATGATATACATAGTGTATGATATTAATTCTCAGAGGTTTACATGAAAATTATTCCTTTTCCATTGAAATCCCATCAAATCATTTCATTAAAAAAGAAGAGCTGTATACTTGTATTGCATTTCCATGGAATAAATTGAAAAATATCGAGATCATTCCCGAGTGCAATTTATTTCAAAACATTGTTACAAAAACACAAAAATATTCCCATATTATTCCAGACATGTCAAATAAAGTTATAAACCATCCATTCTCATCCTCATTCTTTCATCATTTATCCCATCATCTAACAAATACAATATAGCAAGTTTTTTTTCTTTTTGAAATATAAAGCCACAATAAAAATCATGTAAAAAAATAGTTTAGCTCATGTTAACATATAAAAGGTTGCTATAACTAATTAGTGGGATATTATTAAACATTTAAAATTTTATATTATCAATAGAAGCTTAGTGAGCCAGCCAATTAACACAATTATTTACCTTTTTGAAAACATACTTGAAGATGATGGTCCAGCTTTTTTATAAGAAATTATCTGATTTTGTTGATGTTTTAGTGAATGGGTGATTAATAGAAATCTCATTACAAATAACCATGGGTGCCTCAATAGATTCAGAATCAAAATTAATTTTGTTGAACTTTTCATTTCAACGGATACTAAGACCTTCAATAATGCCCATGAACTTAGCGGCTATGCTAGAATATATTTAAGATATTTAGAAAAGTCTTTAATCTAATTTTCTTTTATCATCTCAGATAAGTCCACCACAGCCACACTATAGTAATTTACTTATCCATCAATGTCAAGTTTTTCTGTGAAAAAGTCAAAGCAAACTTCACCAGGAAGCTTTTACAGAAACAAAATGAACCTTCAGGCCGTGAACACAAGCTTTCGTGGAGCCCTCCCTCCCCACTCAGGGACGCCTGGGCTTGGATTGGCACGATAGAGAGTGGCCAGGAAAGAAACATTAGGGGTAAAATAGAATACAAATATTTTGATTTCAAACTTATATATTTCCATGCATCACCTGCTCAAGAACCAAGCCTGAGCAAATCAAAATTTTTTTTTTAAAAAAAAAAAACTTCAAATTATTATGCTCCACCGATGATTTGGAAATTGGAATAGCTAGCGAAGTAGGAGTATGCTAATTTGCTTGCAAGTGGTGAAAAAAAAATGAATCTTGTGCAAAACCAGCCCGGTAATTATGGGCCATGAAATGCATTGATCTGTTGTCGGCCTATTCTTCCATTGGACCTTAATGTCAGACAAAAAAGAAAAAAGAAAAGGAAACTTGACATGTGAATGGGAATCTCCGAGATGGAGTTGACGCCACAGAAGTGAAGCAGAGAGTCATAGTCGGAGTTGACGCCACAGAAGAGAATATCATGATTCAGAAGAATAGATTTGCACGTGGCTGACTCGAGATTTCTATTATATCCCATCGCTGCTTTTCATTGGCACTGATCTGATCTGATCTAATCTAATAATTAAGGACTCTGAATCTGATTTCAGAGGCTGAATTTGTCTGCTCGCGTTCCACTTCAAGTTTCCAACAGTCCCAAATCCCACTTCCAACCATCTCTCTGCCCACTCCGCACATGGGGCTCCACAGACCATGTCAGCATGTATCAATCCACCGCTCCATCAGTTGCATTTCTTTCTTTGATTTTATGTTCATAATTCATTCAGAATATATTTGCATCTCTTTCTTTCTTTCTTTGTTTTTCTTTTTTGGGTGATCTATTTGCATCTCTTTCTATCGACTCATGCAAATCGATACATTCTGGCCAAAAAATACAAATCGATACAGGTTCGTTAATAGCCGTGTTATGTATTTTTAGATTTTATTTCATTACGTTGGGCTTAACTGTCTAATTTCTAGAGTAGCTACGTTTTAATTTAAATCACTGTCTGATAGAAGCAAGAGCCTGTAGGATCGCGAAAACCCCTGATTTGTAGATGTGGATACGATATACTATACTCCCTCCTAATTAAAATATAAACATGTTTTAATAATAATTCACGTATTCATGAATGGAAAGGAATTATAAATTTACAATGAATGGAAAGGAATTATAAATTGCACAATAATTTAAGCTAATAAATATAGGAGGTAAAATGAGATTTTTTTTTTTACAAATATTAAGATGCCTATAACTTTTTTCAACAAATTAGTTGAAAAAAATACTCATATTATGAATCGGAGGGAGTAATAAAATTTCTATTCCATTAAGGTTTTTTTAAAAAATTAATCATTTAATCATTATAATTTTAATTTAGTTATAATTTAATCCTTAAATTCTAACTCACTACAACTTAATCCTTTTGATTTTAACTATTAAAAGTATTGATTCTTTTATCTTGAAAATAAAATTTTAAAAATTAAAATTATGTTGACATTTAAAGATTAATTTTAAATTACTAAAATTTTTAATACAATAAAGATTTAATCTTTATAATTTTTTAAAATATAAATATTAATATTTTACATGATTAAGACTATAAAAACTGAACTATACTTAATTAAAATTTAAGAATTAAGTTATAATTAAATTAAAAGTATAAGAATGTAATCATTAATTTTCTTTCTTTTTCTTCTATAAACTTGTGCGCCGGATTGTTTCAATATATCCATCAGCCCCAACCCAGGGAAAATGGCTGGCTTATCTGCACAAAAGCATGTAATTTCAACATTACAGGTCGCCCAAATCATGAAATCAAGATGGATAATTAGGTTTCATCAATACCCTGTTTTGAAATAAATACCTCTCTTAAGTCATATTTTACATCGTGATAGAGAGGAAATTATATTCAACATTTGACATGCGATCCAATAAAATGGCTGCAGTTGCAGCCGTCTCAATCCACTAATTCCTCTTTTTTTTTTTTTTGGGCCAAAATCCACTTCTTTAATTTACTCTCTTGGTCTGACCAACTAAAATATGCAGTTTCTCATGTAATTTATCTGCCGTATTCCTTAAATAATTTTATCCTCTGCGTAATTTCGCTCTTTCTTTAAGAAAAAACACAATCTTTAATCTTTATAATTTTATAAAATTTTATTTTTAATTACTGTAATTTTTTAATATATTTAATTCTTATAATTTCAAAAAGGTTAGGTGATTTTTATTTTTTAAGTCCCTATAATTTTTATTTTTTAATAGTTTTAGTTTTTATAGGAATTGAAAATACTAAAAAAATTATAGGAATTAAAAGTAAAACCCGATAAAATTACAGGGATTAAAAATTATTTTTTCCCTTTCTTTCACGTATAATAACTTTCTTACAATAAAAATATAAAATAGGTTAAAATATATATTTAATTTTTTAACTTTATGTAACATTTTATTTTTATCTTTTAATTTTATAAAGTGTCTTTTTAATCCTTTATTCTTACATTGTTAGTTTTATCCTAACAAATTTTCACATTAAACTTTTAAATATTGATAAAATATTCTCAAATGTTAATATATTAAGTTTATTTTTATTCAGAATAATAATTATTGATATAAAAAATAATCATATGAAATTAACGATGTTAGTGTTAAAAGATTAAAAAGATACTTTATGAAATTAAAGGATCAAATTAAAACTTTATATATAGTTAGATGATTAAAAGTATACTTTAGCCTACAAAATACAAGAAATTTTTAAATAGATTGAATCTACCACATTATCTATTGTTTATTTAATTAAAATGTCTTAAATCATCTAAATAAAATTTTATGTGATATTATTTTAATTAATTTTATTCTTATAACAAAATATATATTTAATTTATTATTTTTTATTTTTATTATCATTAATTTCAATTAATTTATGTTTAATAATATTATTTAAATATTATATTTTTATTAGGCACATTATTACGTACTCGCTCTATTTAATTTTTTTTTTCACAAAATACATGGACTCTATTTAAGAGCCTTAGTCTTGTGGAAAGAATATAAGAACGACGCGTGTTTTTGAGTGGATACTAGGCACTAGCAAAAATTGAAGGGGGGGAAAAAGTTGACAGAGCGTGCACGTAAGTTGGGACATCTGAAGCTTGCCACCTTTGAACGCGTTGAATTCACACCAAGGATGGGGATGAAGTCGTCTTCGATATGACCTAATCATATATTTTTGGGTCAATTATGGCCACATTTTCGAATGACCCCTTTACAAAATTATATAGAAACCGAAATAGATAAAGAATTATGAAATAAAAATAGCAACAGACACGGTGACGCCCGCGTTGGAAACTTTTTGTTGATGCCAAATTCATACTTCGAGGGTGGGTGACGAAATCCAAGCCCTGATCAAGGCTCCCATGAGCTGATGAGCCAGGCATGTCCTGGACCTCCCCCCCCCCCCCGGGGCGGCGCGAGATAGTGGATTCCCAACCTTAGTAAAAATATTAGTATTTTTTCGGCCAACGTAAAAACATTAGGATTTGCATGCAATATTTAATGACAATTATAATTATTATTTTAATAAAAAAATACTAAAATCATTTTGGTTCACATCACGAGTGGCTATTAAGCCAGCAACAAGAAGGTTCCGGTCAGCGTCAAGCAGACCCTCCTTGGAAGGTTTCTGTTCAATCCCGTCGTCATTCTGTGTACACGCTTTTCTATGGATACAGCTATTCACAGCACACAACAAAGTCATCTTCCTCAATCTCCCCCTTCTCGTGTAAGCCTCCTCTGAAGTTTTCATTCTTTTGCTTTCCCCTTCCCATTTCCTCGACTATTTCTTCCCCTCGTTGCAAATCTCTATAACCAAGTTCCAAGGCAGCTCAAAACTCTCTACTCCACCTCTGCATATGTATTGTAGTTCTCTTCATCAGACTTCGCTCTCACAAGAAAGAATAAAGTGTCATTTTTTCCCACTCGCTTCTTCCTCTCTGCATCTTTCTGCGCAAGTCTGGTGTCGTTGAGGGATAAAAATCCTACATTTAGGGAAGAGATGGTCCAATATCTTCGGCACCATCAGCTTAGGAAAGGAGGGGAATCCATAAAAGACGACGTGTCCCAAAATGAAAATCTCGACCCTGGCTATTGCAAGAGAACCAGGTCCAGGTTGTTCTCTCTCTTCTTTCTCACTCTGCTCTCTTGCTGCTTCGTGTTAGCACCTTCCTTCATCGGCTTCTCCTTCAATCTGCCCCACCTGTGTAAGTTTTTTTTGCCTCACGCCTCCCTCTGATTCCTTTCCTTCAGTTTTTTTTTCCTTTTTTTTTATTTCGGTTCCTACCACCCCCGCTTTCTCCAAATCTCTGTACCACTCTAAATTTTGTTGATCTTTCTTTTCACTTATCAGACCCTCTTGGGACGGAAAATGACCAGGCCATGTTCGGGTTGTGCTCTTCAGTTTCCAGTGGTAGGTGTTCTTATTCCCTTTTTCTCACTGTGTTGATTTCTTTAGTGTTAATTTTAGATGTTCATTCATCTGGTGACATCATATTCGGAGGGGATTGACATCCAGGATTATTCTTGCTTCACTTGCTGGCTGACAAATGATAATATTAAGGAGATGAAGTGATGAAATTGATGCCTTCTATCCCTGAAATTCCTGTTTTTCCTAAAGACCTGGGATAGGGACAGAATCTTGGAAGCCCTCTTCTGTAAAAAAAGATAGATTGATCGAATCAATGATACATCTGCAACCATAATAGAGGCTACTAAAAATTTTGCTTTTGATGCTTGCTTATTTTCTATTATTGGCTTGATCTAACTATTCAAAAGTGACTCCTAAGGTTTTTTCTTGTGTTATTGAGGTCATCACTGGGTCAAGTGGATTTTTTGTTTGATTTCTTACATGCTTCCATTGGTGACGCAGGAACTATATGTTGTGATAGGACTGGTTACCGTTCTGATATCTGCATGATAAAAGGGGATGTAAGAACACACTCTTCCTCTTCGTCAATCTTCCTTTACAATTCCATCAGCCTCAATATGACTAATGTGTCAAGAAGAGCCGCAAGCGGTAAACAGGACAATGATCGGGTACTCCAGCACGAAAAGATCAAGCCATATACTCGAAAATGGGAAGCAAGTGTCATGGACACCATTGATGAACTTAACATCATTTCGAAGAGAGTGAGTTTGGGTACTGATAATCATAGTTGCGATGTCCATCATGATGTTCCTGCCTTGTTCTTCTCTACTGGAGGCTATACCGGCAATGTTTATCACGAATTCAATGACGGAATCATACCTTTGTTCATCACTTCTCAGCATTTTAACAAACAGGTTGTGTTCGTCATCCTGGAATACCACAGTTGGTGGATCATGAAGTATGGAGACATCCTTTCTCATCTATCAGCCTTTCCTGCCATTGATTTTAATGCAGACAACCGAACCCATTGCTTCCCTGAAGCCATTGTTGGTCTGAGAATCCATGATGAGCTTACCGTGGATTCTAGCTTGATGAAAGATAACAAGAGCATCGTTGATTTTCGAAACCTTCTGGATCGAGCTTACTGGCCTCGGATCAAGGGCTTGATTCAAGACGAGGCAAAGGAAGCACAAGATGGATTATTCCCTGTATTAACAGAAAATCAAGGGAACAAACCTAAGTTGACTATTCTATCAAGAACAGGATCAAGAATGATAACCAATGAGAATTTGCTGGCGAAGATAGCAGGTGAAATTGGGTTTAAAGTTGAAGTTTTAAAGCCAGGCAGAACGACAGAATTGGCAAAGATTTATAGAGCACTTAATGCAAGTCAGGTCATGATTGGGGTACATGGTGCAGCTATGACGCACTTCCTGTTCATGAGGCCCAGTTCTGTGTTCATTCAAGTTATTCCTCTGGGAACTTCATGGGCAGCAGAAACATATTACGGTGAGCCTGCAAAAAAGCTTGGATTAAAATATATTGGGTATAGAATTCACGCCAAAGAAAGCTCTTTGTATAGAAGGTATGATAGAGATGATCCTGTTTTAAGAGAACCAGAAAGCATTAACAAGAAGGGGTGGGAATACACTAAGAAGATCTATCTTGATAGCCAAAATGTTACGTTGGATCTCAAAAGATTCCAGAAAAGGTTACGTCGTGCTTATGAATACAGTGTTTCGAAATTAAAGATGCATCTATCTCAATAAACTTCATTTGTTTCATACTTTCATGTAACTATTTCTTTTCAATTTTTCGTTCTTTAATTTTTGCGACTTGCTGTTTAGATGGATTTTTTTTTTTTTGCGCAAAGCAAGACAATTATAAAAAAAAATATACTTTTTTATTTGTCAAGGAAATGAAAGTATAATTTTTTTGGCTTTTGTGAGATAAGAATCGAAATAGAAATTTTAGGGTGTTAAAGATTAAAAATAAAAGAGAAGAAAAATTTAAAAAAGAGAGGTGCATTAATGATAGATATTCTCAGTGGAACCATTCCTTATTGCGTGTCAGTTCGGTACGACCAGGAAGCATGCGAACGTTGGGCAGATTCGATGGGGACCACTAACGGCTAAGAAAATTTAGAGTTTCGGCCTTTCGGGCAGATTTTGCATTTTGGTACGATGCTTGCATTTTTACATCTTCGAAATTATTCTGATCTGATTTTTTATTTGTTTTCAATAGTGTTGTTTCATTTGTTGTTATTAGGTGATGTATGTTTGTATGCTCCTTTTTTGGAATGAAGTTTTTTCAGTATTTATCCAAAAAAAATATTCTTACTTTTTCGCTGGCAAAAAATGTGATATTTGATTTAAAAAAATTATCGTAGAGGTTACCAGAGTCCAGCACTATAGTGGAGGAAGAAGCAGATCATATTCTAATATTAATATAATTGTATGGATAGTGGATGCTATCCTCAAACTTGTAATTTGTATTGTGCGGTAATGCAACCTCCAATTTTGACTAAAGAAGACTTAAATGTTTTGTCCTTAGTAAAAAGTAGGAACGCTAATACTTAAAAGGATAATTACAAACGGGCATTAACATAACTAAATTACTTATTTCATCTTATTTATATTAAAATTCTATATTTACATGTAAAACTTTCTTAACCACAAGTATGTAGTACCTATAAATAATTATTTTTTTACTTGAAATACACATGTATGTATGTATGTATGTATACGTGTGTATATAATTTTCCTTTCTTAGAATGTCAACCACACAACTGTGGGCGCTAAAGAAGACCACCAAAAAAAAAACAGGAAAAAAATAAAAACAAAAATGATAAAAAGCAATCAAAATGGGGGGGAATGAATACTTTTTCTGGCCGATACATCTTAATCACAAACTAAATACAAACTTATATATACAATATTACAGGTGTGTTTAACTTACATTCATCTCAATTAAATTATATTAGGATAGATTTCATTCTGACTTGAAAACAATCAAGACAGGATAAGGGATTGCTCTTAGGACATCTTGTCTCGAATATTATATATATATATATATATTATTTTTTATTTTATAAATATACATTAAATACATTAAGTATACTTATATTAATCTCAATTAAATTATATTAGGATGAATTTCATTCTGACTTGAAAACAATTAAGACAGGATAAGGGATTGCTCTTAGGACATCTTGTCTCGAATATTATATATATATATATATATTATTTTTTATTTTATAAATATACATTAAATACATTAAGTATACTTATATTAATCTCAATTAAATTATATTAGGATGAATTTCATTCTGACTTGAAAACAATTAAGACAGGATAAGGGATTGCTCTTAGGACATCTTGTCTCGAATTATATATATATATATATATTATTTTTTATTTTATAAATATACATTAAATACATTAAGTATACTTATATTAATCTTAATTAAATTATATTAGGATGGATTTCATTCTGACTTGAAAACAATCAAGACAAGGTAAAGGATTGCTCTTAGGACATTTTATCCCGAATATTATATATATATATATATATTATTTTTATTTTATAAATATACATTAAGTATACTTATATTAATTATAAAACGTTTCTCTCACATTGTTTGGTTTATTGGGACGACAAGATGTATCAATTTTATCCCGATCCTGTTCTGATTCCTAACGGGAGGAGACGAGATATAAGATTAAAATTCAATCTTTTTTTTTTCTGAGGATGTCTGTCTCATGAACACCCCTCTATTATTAAATTAGGGACTATTATTGAGCATTGCTGTAAGTGGAAAACAAAATTCGGGCATTGAAAGCTGGAAAATTAGCAAACATTCGAGCAGTACGACCATCATGGAATGGCAAGCAGTATGATCAAAATTAGCGAATGGAATTTGACTCCAAAGCATTGCTCTTGCTGCTGTACAGAAGTCGGCAACTTTCAACTTTTTATTGAAACAAGAAAACGCAAAAAAAAAAAAAAAAATTCCAAAACTTGATTTTTATAAACCTAATTTCATAATTACAGGAAGAACTAGTGGATGACGGCCTCTGCAATGTCCTGACCAAGCTACTTAAATCCAATAGCGACCTAAGCTAAAGTTAGATTCATCGTGCTTAGAGTCAAAGCACTTCCAACAGTTATTCCTCCTGCTTTTCTATAGCCATCGTTTTCCATTCTTGGTGGCTGACCGTATTGGAGGAGGCGTTTTCGTGTTTCTCTGCTCCTTCTCGCCTGCAGAAATAACAAAACCAGCCATTCAAAAACACGTTGCCAATGAAATACTTATGGACTATATCTTCCTTCCTTGTGTTTCTTTTCTACTTACCGGAGGCCACAGACTTCCCTCCGAGAGAAGATCTACGGGAGTTTTCGGCGCCAGTTGCTTGAATCCCCGTTAGAGATTGCCTTCTCCTTGTTCTCGCAACAGAACTTGGTGGTGATTTTGCTTCATTTATGTGATTATTACTGCTCTTCATGGGTGACTTCACTTCCACCGTATTTTGTTGGCTCCTGCAATTTCACATGCAGAGATTCCATAAAAAAGACCAAAGTATGAGATGAAATTTGCTTGCTTTACCTTACCCACCTCTTATCTTGTCCATTGATGAGCTTTCCAATGGTCCGTAAGGATCTCCTTATCTGGGAACCTTTACCGTTTGTGTTGCTAACCACATTTGGTGTCTGGAAATCCATGGAAACTGCAACATCACTCCTTGCAGCTTTATACGTTTCAACCTTGTCAGGCCATCGTAGTTCAGGCGTAAGAGGATGAATTTGAGCTGCACAATCTATTTTCATCACCTTCTTCTGATATTTAATGCTTGTAGGGCTTCGAGGAGCTTTAGTGTGCAACTCTATCTTGGAACTGCTATGGCTGAAATGGCCGAATGGTTTTGGCACTGCTTCTGCATCTCGTGGAGGACGGTTTTTCTGTTGAGACACTGAATCCAACTGTAAAGTTTTGCTTACATCAGTAATATCCTTTGGCTGTACCGTGTCTTTCTTGTTGATGCTTTTGGAACCTTCCAAGCTCAATCTTCTTGAACGAGGGACAAACGACGGTGATTTGATTCCAATCTTATCCTCGGGTTTCACAGAATTGTTGTCAGTCCTTGTGGCACTGCAATTCTCAATGCTAAGTCTTCTAAGGCGCAATGGAGTTTTCTCAGATGGAGTCCGTGGTTCTTTTGCCTTGCTTAGCTGCATTCTCTGTGCTTCCTTGTTTGACAATGCCATCTTAAGGTTCTCAACCTAACATAACATCATAACATGGAAAATGAAACAAAAGAAACCAACTTAATGAGACGAAGGAACCCAACTCAGTAAGCCTTAAATATAAATCATTATGTCCAATTCTCTTACCTGTTCCTTAAGTTGCATAATCTCACTACTTTCTCTATTTGATCGAGCTGTTCCAAGTTCCACGGTGGAAGCTCGCTGAGCAAACTTTAGAGTACTGATTGTTTCTCCGAAGGACTCTTCTTCAGGACTCACATGAGCAAACATCAATGTTTTGGCTTTCCCACCTAATGCAGAAATTACCAAGAGAAAAACTGTGAACAAAGTGCCATATTGTATGATTTCTTTCTTATAACAAGTGTAAGCGACAGAGTGTGAATTACAACCTAAGGAATCCTGCAATAGAAGTGTGAGTTTACTATTCCTGTAAGGGATGTGAGAATTCTTCTGAGCCAGTGCTGTGATCACATCCCCTAAACAGGAAAGAGACTTGTTGATGAATTGTGCCTCTTTTAGTCTTTCCCCTGTAACTTCAGACTTCTCCACTCGCTCACTTCCAGCAAGGTCTATCAAATGCAGGCAACCACGAATGGAGCTCCCAGAGATATCTTTGCCATGAACATGCACAGTAAGAACACTGAGATCCATGGCAAGCAGCCTCATCAGTATCTCAACTATAGATTAAATTCAGGATAGTTTATGATAGCACTTAGTATTAGAATCTGACCTGTGAGAACGACTGCTCCGGTTGTTGATGGAAGTGGAACTAACAGCTCGGTTAACCTCACCAAGTTTCATGAGGCTCACTACATCATGCGTCGATTTTACAGAACGCAATGTAGCATCTGGAAGGTTCAAGCCATTGTCATTGCAACTTCGTATCTCTAATTTATGGTAAGTTAAGGAAAGGAACTACTTGCAAATAATGTTGCAAAGTCTGTAGGGAATGGAGCTTTGTGAGAACATTATTATACAACATGCTTCTGGCACAGAATATAACCAGTATGAAAAGGATATTTATTGTCCGTTTTTTCCTCTGCAAGTAGGTCTCGTACTTGTTCATTGTAAATCTCAACCATTTGCACATAAATGTCGTAAGTTATAATGTCCTTTCGTTGGTTAGACATCTGGAAAAGATCATTTAAAGCAAGATAATTAATCCCCATATCTTTAGAAGATCCACCTGATGGCCCACTCTGTCACCAAAAAAATGAACTTAGGTCAAGGCCATGTTTTTAAAAAGATTAAATGAAACAGATGCAGATATAGATCATATCGAAGTATCTTACCATGGTATATGTCTTCCCAGATCCAGTTTGTCCATAGGCAAAAATACAGACATTATATCCATCTATCACCGATCTAATTAGTGGTCGAGTGTCCTTGTATATTTCACCTGCATGCAGAACATCAAATTTCCATACAGAGAAGGACATAAAAAAAGAATCTGCAAAACTAGTTTGTAAACTTTGTGTTTAATGAATCATTGTGGAGTTACCTTGGCTAGCTGTTGGTC